GCCAAATTATTGTTGCTGAGAGAGGGTATGAACAAGGGACGGCCTATTCTGCCATCTTGCTGATGTCACTCTCATATATGTTCTTATCATGGTTATTTTAAAGTCCTTGTCTGCTTAGTCCAATATTTGCATAATCTTTGAGTTGGCTTCTGCTAAGGAGGGTGTAATCTAGATTATTTATCTTTCATTTCTGATGTAATTTGTGTCTTCACTCATTTTTTTTCTTGGTTACTATAGGTTTTTTTAATTTTATGGATGTTTCAAAAACTAGCTTTTTGTTTTGTTGGTTTTCTGTATTAATTTCTGTATTCAATTTTATTGAGTTCTGTACTAATGTTAATTATTTCTTTCTTTCTGCTTACTGTGGATATAATTTGTTCTTTTTCTAGTTTCTAAAGTGGAAGCATATATTATTTATTTTAGATGTTTCTTCTCTTGTAATACGTGCATTCATTCCTGCTGTGAATTTCTCTCTAAGCACTGCGTTTACTGCATATCACAAATTTTGATAAGTCATGTTTTCATTTTCATTTAGTTTAAAATATTTTAAAATTTCTCTTGAGACTTCTTCTTTACCCTATGGATTATTTAGGAATGTGCTATTTAATCTCTAAATATTTTGGGATTTTTACAAATATATTTCTGTTACTAATATCTAGTTTAACTACATTGTGGCCTAAGAACATACAGTGTATGTTTTCCTTTTTTAAAGAAATTTGTTGAGATGTGTTTTATGGCATAGAATGTGGTCTATTTTGATGAATGTTCCATATGATGTTGAGAAGATTGCATATTCTGCTGTTGTTGGATGAAGTATTCTATAAATATCAATTAGATTTAGTTGATTGATGATGCTGTTCAATTCAAGTATATGCTTACTCATTTTATACCTGCTGTGTCTGCCAGTTACTGATAGAGGGATGCTGAAGTCTCTGACTATAACAGTGGATTTGTCTATTTCTCCTTTTCTGCCATTTTTTTGCCTCATGAATTTTGGCACTCTGTTGTTAGGTGCATATACATTAAGGAATGTTATGTCTTCTTCGAGAATTGACGCCTTTATTATTATGTAATGCTCCTCTATATCCCTGATAATTTTATTTTTTCTGAAGTCTTCTTTGTATGATGTTAACATAGCTATTCCAGTTCTCTGTTGATTAGTGTAAGCCTGTATATCTTTCTCCATCCTTTTACTTTTAATCTATCTGTGTCTTTACATTTAAGTGGATTTCTTGTAGACAAACTATAGTTGGGTCTTGTTTTTTAATCCACTCTGACAATCTCTGTCTTTTTTTTTTTTTTTTTTTTTTACTAAACCATTCACTCAAAATTAATGGTTTACCTCTATATTTTCCGTTATATGGAAGTTCCCTGAGGGCAGGGGCTGTGTCTTTGTTATAACATTCATGATAGCGTATAAGCAGATTTACTGGGTGTCTGTTCAGCTCCACCACTTGCCAGGTGGGTGACCTTGGGTGTGTTACTCTGTGTTCCTCAGTTTCCTCATTTGTAAAATGGGGGTAAGACTAGTATCTACTTCAAAGGGTCTTTGTGAATATTAAATGTGTTAATAAACATAAATAACTCATTACAGGGCCTGGCACACAAATGTTAGCAATTGCTGCTGAATTCTCAGTTGGCCCTTAACAAGTATCTGTAGAATGAAGAGAGTGAGTAAATTTTGGGAAAGAGCTAAGGTGAGCTCTGCTCACTTCATTGTGGTCTCTGTGGTTTCACAGATAGTCTCAGGTTTGCATGACAAGGGAGGTTCCTTGGCAAGGTTTATCACGCTAGGAAATGTGCTCTTGAACATTCCATAAACGTAATGGAGTCTCAGCCATGAGAAGCCTGGCCAGTCACTACTGGTTGGGGTTTCCAGGTGGATTGTAAGGAGAGTGGCGCAGTTCACCTATTTGTGAACACAGCCTAGACCCCTCCATGTCTGATACAGGCAGCCTTGAAGAGAAGGTAGAAGAGATGTTTTGGGCTATTTGCCTTAAAGACATTGGTAACTTGGGGAATGTTTGAAGACCAAAAGTTCTTCTTATATTCTGTATCTGCCTTCATGCTGTGATTAGAAATCAGACCTAGTTGCTAGGTGTATTCTGGTGCAAGTTGTTCAACCATCTCAATTTGTGGTTTCCTCATTCATTAAGTATCACAGTATCACTGTCTTATTGATTGCTTTTATCCATTGTCTAATGACCTCATTAACATATATCTAAATAAGTGCACACATGTACACACACATACACACACACGTTTTCTCACACCACAGCTGAAATAGCTGTCACAAGGCACATGCATTAAATCTCATTTTCATTAGTTAGAGAAGCCATCACTTATGATCAATTTATACCTCCTTTACAAGCAATTATAACAACTTACCCCAGACACTAAAACCTCCACCCCAGGCCTGCTCAAAGACTGCCTCTCTTATGGCACAGATTGAACCCAGGAAATTTATTGGTTTTCTTACTTTGATATTAGGGACTCTATTGTATTTTCTGAGCTTGCTGTCTGTGTAGCCCATGATGCTGGGCTACTGTCAAGCAGCTGCTCTTGACAGTTTTATTTCCGTAGTGGTAGGAGTTTAGTCTCAAATCGGTTTCATATCAGATTAGCAGCTGCCTGGGCCATGGGAAAATCTATGGTTAACAGATCCCAGGAGAGTATGCAGCCTGGATCTGGCCTCCAGCCCTTATGGGATAGGGCAAGATAAAAAAATTATAAAGATAGGGAAGACATAATTAAAGGGCCTCATATATGGTGAGTCTATATTTACCTGGAGGCAAGACATACCCCCTTTAAATATAGGAGAGGGCAATGGGAAAGTGTTTTAAAGTTGGTTTGACGTGCAAGTCAACCAAGCATCCTTCAATTAAGAGAGATGAAAACCGTGGACAATATAGACACCCATTTAGGGGTCCATTTGCTGGACTAGAATTTGAAAAGGAATTGTTTGAGGAGACCATTATATTTCTCAATTAAGCCAGCTATCTGGGACTTATCAGGGACATGAAAGGTATATTGAATATCTTTTTCAAGAAACCAGTATTGTGTCTTCTGAGAAGTGAAATGTGTTCCTTGGTTTCTATTAATGATGTCTTTAGCTCCAAAGGGGATAAAGAGTGTCCTAGCAAGGCCTTGTATTTTGTCCTAAGAACTGCTTTTGATCAAAAGCTGGGATAAAGGACGGAGGGATTGCTTGAGTTCAGGCAGTCTTCCAGTAAAGGATATTACTATCTCTTCTCTGAAGGTGGACTGAAATGTCTGATGCATCAGTTGGTTGTTGTTTTCTACCTCTTAGTGGCTATAGTTGAACAATAAGCAACCCAGGGCAATATGTGGGATAGAAAATTTAGAAACATCTTCATGGATCATAGACATCTTCTCCTCTGAACTGTTCTTTATTTGCCACTCCCTCACAATGCTTTCTCACTTCAGGTCCATCAGGAACCAACTATGTTTATTTTGAGAGTATTTTTTTAGAGAAGTTTTAGGTTCACAGCAAAACTGAAGGGAAGGTACCCCCTACCCCCATACATACATAGCCTCCTCCGTTATCAACATTACTCACCAGAATGGTATACCTTTTACCAAGGATGAACCTACATTGACCAATCAAAATCACCCAAAGTCCATAGTTTACCTTAGGGTTCAATCCTGGTGTGGTACATTCTATGGATTTGGACAAATAATATGTATCCATCATTATGGTATTGTACAGAGTATTTTCACTACCCGAGAAATCCTCTGTGCTCTGCCTATTAATTTCTCCCCTCACCACCCAAAACCATGGATCTTTTTATTGTCTCCATAATTTTGTTTTTTCCAGAATGTCATATAGTTGGAATCACACAGTATCTAGGCTTTTCAGATTGCCTTCTTTCACTTAGTAATATGCATTTAAGGTTCCTCCTTGTCTTTTCATGACTTGATAGCTCATTTCTTTTTAGTGCTAAATACTGTTCCATTGTCTGAAATATGCCACAGTTTATCTGTTCATCTACTGAAGGACATCATAGTTGCTTGCAAGTTTTGGCAATTATGAATAAAGCTGCCATAAACATCTGTGTGCAGAAATTAGAAATGATTCAAAGAAGAACAACAATACCTAATGAGGGTGTATTAGTCTTTTATTGCTACATAACCAATTATACCAAAACGTAGCAGGTGAAAACAATACAGTTCTATGGGTCAGGAATCTAGGAGCAGCTTAGTGGGTGAAATCAAGGTGTCACATAGGGCTGTAGTTGTCTCAGGGTTCAAAGTGTGAAGATTTGCTTCCAAGCTCAGTCATGTGGCTGTCGGCTGACTTTAGAAAGTCTGTTTCCAAGTTCGCTCATGTAGACCTCTCCATAGGCCTACTTCATGACTGGCTGCCCCAGAGAGAGCAAGGGAGAGTGAGACATAGAATCCAGGAAGTCAGTCTTTTTTATAAGCTGTCTTGGAAATGATTACCCATCACTTCTGCTGTATTCAGTTTATTGGAAGCAAGTCCGTAAGTCCAGCCTATACTCAATGGAGTGGGAATATACAAGGACTTAAATAAAAGAAGGCAGGAATCATTAGAGTCCATTTTAGAGGCTTCCTACTATTAAGAGAATGTAGAATTGATCATTAAAATATTAAAGGTGTTTTGTGTAAAATAATTCAAAGAAGCAATACAATGTGATGTTTAAGACTCTATCAGATTTGCTAAGATAGCTGGTATTGTCATTAAGTAATAGTATTTTGAAATTAAACTATTGTGTTTACTCATTCATGTTTAATGTCTAACATCCAAATGCTTATGTAACTCGACTACAATTATATCTACATAGGTATCTTAGATGCATTAATAAATTTTAAACATGAGTTTTATATACTAATTTTTGATTATAGTAAATATTATTTTCTTTATAACTGAAGAGGATTGTTAGCTAATTTCTTTTTTAAAACTTTTCCTTATATTTAGTATCCAGAGGGTTTATCCTTGGAGTCATATACTATCAGTATCGTGCAGTTGCTTGGCTTTAATCTGGGATTGAGTTATGAAGATACTGACACCTGCCTTTGTTCAGGAGATATCTGCACAATGTCACCAGATGCAGTGTAAGATAATTTTCTTTATTAAATATACATATTCCTTTTAAAAAATTTTTTGGTTAGGAATTTATATACTTCTATTAACCAAACTGAAGTAACTGAAAATTATACAACACTGTACCCAACAACTGAAGAATACACATTCTTTTCGAGTGCAGATGGAGCACACACCAAAATAGGCCCAACATTCCCCCAGGCCTCTCCATGCCTGGGGAATCTTTCTTCTTCCTTCCTACCTTCCAGAGTCTGGCTTGTATTTTTCTCTTCTGGCCAGATTGAAGGCACCCTCTAGGGACAAACCGTGAGAATTATATTATTTCAGTGAATCTGCATAATGTTAAATGCTTTGATATTTGCATTTCAAACTGGCCTTGTACAATATAAAGCTGAATAGTACCATTCCTGTTAATAATTTAAATTAAAAAAATTATTTTGAAAGATATTAAATTGGAAATAAATAATACCATGACCCATTGAGAGAGAGACTGCTGAAGAAAGGAAAAAGATTTTTATTTTAGTACCATTAATAGTACTTTTTCCCTGCTTTATAAGCAAGGGGCCCTGCATTTCCATTTTTCATTGTCTCTTGCAAATTATATAGCCAGTCCTGGTGGTTCCACATCAGCACCAAGACTTGGTATGCTCAGTATGTTTAATCTGAATCATTTTAGTGGGTATGTAGTATTATCTCATATTGGTTTTCATCTGCATTTCCCTAGAGGCTAATGATGTTGAACATATTTTCACGCTTAATAGTTTCGTATATCTTCTATGGTGAAGAGCCTAGTTACAACTTTTGTCCATTTTTTTAAAATAAAAATTGAGATTTTCATGGTCTTATTGAGTTGTAAGAATTGTTTATATATTCTGGCTATGATTCCTTTACCAGACACATGATTTTCAAATATTTCCTCCATATAGTGCCTTTTTTTAAGAAAATGTTTTTAATTTTGATGAAGTACAGTTTATCAATTTTTTTCTTTTATGCCTCATGGTTTCATAACTCTCATATGCAATTTCATGATAGATTTTGAGTTTATTGTGCATGTTTAAGTTCATTTTCATTTTGGCCATACAGATTTCCAATTATTCCAATACCACTTATTGAAAAGACCCATCTTTCCCCCATTTAATTGCGTTGGCAACTTTGTCAAAAATAAATTGATCATAAATATGTGGATTTTTTTAAATTGGAATGTCTATTTTATATCATTACTCTGTATGCCTACCCTTATGGAAAAAAGCATACCGTCTTTATTACTGTAGCTTTATATTGAATTTTGAAATCAGGTAGTGCAAGTCCCCAAGTTTTTTCATCTTTTCCAGTATTTCTCAGCAATGTATTGTATTTTACAGTTTACGTGCTTTTGTTAAATTTATCCTCACATATTTTATTATTTTTTTTGCTATTGAGAGTAGAATTGTTTTCTTAATTTCATTTTCAAATTGTTCATTGCTAGTACATAGAAATATAATTGAATTTTGTAGATTGACTTTCTGTGCTGCAAAAACTTGCTAAACTTATTAGAAATTCCAGGAGATTTTATTTTTTGATTCCTTAAGATTTCCTACAAACAAGTTCTTGTCATCCATGAATAAGAACAGTTTTATTTTTTCCTTTCCATCTATTTTCATGTAATTCTTTTTTCTTGCTTAATTGCACTTGAAATAACTTCAGTCCAGTGTGAATTGATGTGGTGAGAGTGGATATCCTTGACTTGTTCCCAATCTTATGGGAAAAGCATTCAGTTTTTCACGATAAGTATGATGTCAGCTACACTATTTTTTTTTAAATAAATATATCTTCTCTTCTAAAATAGTATCTTTAATTCCCTTGTACATCATGTTGTTTTATTACTTTTCTTTATCATTCCAATAACTATCTGACTTATTTCACATATTTATTTTCCGATGTTTATACTTTTTGCCCCTAGCAGATACTTGGTCTACTTTTTACTACATACCAGTTGCCTAGAAAAGTGCTCAGTAAATATGCTGCAAATAATGACCTAATCAACTCAGTATATTTTCTCCTTATTTCATTTTATCCTTTGATTATTGAATCCATGATATCCCCAATTTTTGTAAAGGCACAAAGTAGATAATAACTAAATTTATTTCTTCTCCCCTGTGATAAATCATTTCTTAGAAGAATATTATTTCACCATCTTTTTCAGTGTTTTATTTATATACTTTATAAAAACTCAGCTTTATCAAGGTATGATTTGTCCACAATGAAATTCATACACTTTAAGTGTACGAGTTTATGACTTTTGACAAATATATATAAATCTCTGAACCACAGTGTCAGTCAGGCTATGCAACATTTCCATCTCCATAGAAAGTTCCTTTGTGACCTTTGGCTCTCCTTCTACCTTCCACTCTTGCCCCAGGCAACAACTGATCTGATTTCTGTTTACAATTAGTTTTCCTTGCTCTAGAATTGTAAGACTGTAATTTCTCTGAATTATTTAAACATCTTTCTTTAATTATTTGAGTGTATTTATAGTGGTTCCTTTTAAGTATCTGTACGCCAAATCTGATACCTGGGTCATCTCAGTGTTGATTTCTATTTACTGCTTTTTTTAAATTGACTATAGATCACATTTTCTTATTTCTTTGTATGTCTGTTATTACTATTGGCATATTGGATATTTTTGATAATACAATAGAAAGCGTGGATTCTCCTACCTTCCTCTGAAAATCATTGATTCTTTTCCTACCAGGCAATTCATTTATTAGCTAATCATTTTGAATTTTAAATTCTTGGTTTTATGCTTTGCTAGTATGATCTACGGAAAACTCAAGGTATTTCCAAATCCCTCTAAATTGGCAGGACTGAACTTCCAAACCCGATCTCCTCTGGGGATCTTGTCAAGACTTGAATTTAGGCTCTGTTAAAATTGATGTAGAGAAGATTTTAGTATAGGGCAGAGATCAGCCAACAACAGTTCATAGGCCAAATTTGGCTGGCTGCTTGTTTTGTAAAAAGAATTTTATTGAAATATGGCCAGGCTTATTGGTTTAAATATTGTTTATGGCTGCTTTTGCACTAATGGCAGAGCTGAGTAGTTGCACCAGAGTATATGGCATATAAGACTAGAATATTTATTATCAGGCCCTTTACAGAAAGAGTTTGTCAACCTTTGGTCTAGGGCATAGTCTTTACTCTTAGATCGTCTTCTTTCTTGTGTTTCGGTTGGATGCTGAGCTGCTACCACAGTGCTAACAGCTCTGTCCCTCCATCAGGACAGGTACTCCTGTGGCCTCTCCCATAGTGTGGTTCAAACAACATGTTTTTATTTGAAAACTAGTTAATTATGGAGAGCAAATATGCTATTAAAGTTAATACAAACATGTGCATGTCATTATTTACACAAAAATACAAAAATGATATAAATAGATAAAAAGTATATTAAATACTGAGACCAAAAATTCAAAATTCAATTGTTTGGCACTGGGAAGGTAAATAAGAATAACACAGTTGCTATGTTTAAAGACTTAATAAAGGTCATAGGATAAGTAAATGATAGTCTTGTTTAAAACAGGATGGATGGCAAGAAAAAGATTTTGGAATTTTTATTTTTCATTACAAGAATTTTCTTGATTAAATGTAAAAACCATGTTAAAACATGTTAGCAATGCAATCAATATTTTTAAAAGTGTGCTTATTGTTTTCCATGAAGAATAATGCCCTTTAAATCTCTCTTCAAAATACGGTACATTTGGAGAAATGTAGAGATATACAGCAGTAATATTTGTTGTGCCCATATTTTTTATATTTTAGGTACTCTGGGGGTGTAAAGGATTTTAGCACCTGTAGTTTGGATGACTTTAAATATTTTGCTTCAAATTCTGGCCTTGACTGTCTTCAGAACATCATTCCAGAGGTGCCAGTTTACAGACAGAGGAGGGCATGTGGCAATGGAGTGTTGGATCAAGGTGAACAGTGTGACTGTGGCACTCCAGCGGTTAGTAGAAAGTTTTTCAAATTTTTTTTATTCCCTATATATGTGTATAATAGTTGGAAAAGATGATAAAGACCCTTGTCTTTTATAAAAATAAATTTGAAAAAGAATATTGGGGAATACAGAAGCCTTTAAATCTCCTAATTTTGCTATTTTTTGAAGTGGAGAGCAAAGGTCCTTTAGATAATGTTTCAGGGTCTTCAGATA